GAACAAAAATATAAGTTTTTTCATTTACAATATATATAAATTTTTTCATCAAAAAGTATGACGTGTTTGGTGTGTATGGAAAGATTATTTTAACTACTATTATAATCTGGTAAATGTAATGCGACTATAACAAATCATCAAGCGTAGTTTTATTTAGTAAAGATGCAATTTCCAACATAAAATACCTTGGGGCTTGGCTATAGTCTATGAATTTGATTTTTTCATAAAAGCACTTATTGGTGTTTGTTTTCAATAAATGTAACTTGACATTTTTTCAGACATTATTTGGGAAAATTATCCATGAAAAATCATTTTTTTAATGAAAATTGAAGTTACTATTTTCAATACCACACCTAAATGAGTATGTTTAGCAATAATGTCACGTTAGATTTAGATAACCTATGGTAGTGTTAATTTTTCTACCAAAGTCGTTTTTGCATAAATAATCATAACTTTTAGTTATAATTATTTATGATTAGTTATGATTATTTATACAATGATATCTTTGCCGCTATCAAGACAACATTAAACCTGCTTGCTTACTTTAGTAGATAGCCTTGAGTCTGTAACTTTATACGCAGTGCCGGATCAAGGAGGGGGGTGGTGGCTAGGGGGTCTATAGCACTGGGCCTATAGCCCAAAAATTTTAGAGGAGCTTTTTTTTTTTTTAATAGTAATTTTTAGGCTCTGTCCCAAAAAAAGGCCTTCAAAAACAGAAATAGCCCCGGGCCCCAAGAAGTTTATATCCGCCATATATACATACATATATATATATATATATATATATATATATATATATATATATATATATATATATATATATATATATATATATATATATATATATATATATATATATATATATATATATATATATATATATATATATATATATATATATATATATATATATGCATATATATATATGTATTCTTTAGCAAAAATGATAGGTTTAGAAAGTGATTTGAGAAGAATCTTAACAGTGACATTAAAAGCCCGTCATGATGACCTTACTGATCAATTAAACCGTTTAATAATGGTGAAGCTTTTCTTAGTTTGTTGTTTAATAATGGGAATAAGTTGGTTTACAGACTCTATAAACTGTATTGTACCAGGTATATTTTACAGACTCTTTCTAGTTTCTATCCTTTTTTTTTGTATTATAATCATAAATATTTTATCTTTTTAATTTTATTTTCTCATCAGCTATAAACACTGTTGAAACGGCGTTTGTTTCCCAAGCATGTTGGATTCAAGGTTTTTATGTATTTAAGCCTTTAATGACACGTTTTGATGTTGCATTTTTTGGTATACCGAGAGACATTGATAGCAATGGATTGCTTGCATCGGGAGAGTTGTGTACAGTCCAACCAAGTTTTGGAATAGCAAGCGACAAATGCATACCAATGGAAAAGATTTTTTATCTTCAAGTACGTAAATTTTTACTGTGTTTGCATAGAAAATCATCTTTACTCAAAATTACAACTAGTCATAAAAAAAATTTTAAATAAAATTTTTTATTTTATAGTATCAGTGGATGCCTTTTCTAATAGGCTCGCTTTCTGCTGTGTACTACATACCTTATGTATTTTTTTTACAAGCAAACAGTGACATGATTTCTTTAAAAGCTGCGGTGATGGGAAAAGAAAAGCCGAGCAAAATTGTCTCCATGTTTTTTGGTTGCAAATCACAAAGGTTTCTTAAATTGAGAGTTGTATCTTCTATCTTTGTGAAAAGTTTATATCTTATCGTGAACATAGGAACTTTCGTGTTTTTAAATTTTTTACTAAATGGGGAGTATTATAAATATGGCGTTAGGTGGGCGAATTGGTCTAAACAGAGCAACACAGATGCTTTTGATTATATGGGTAAAAAGACAAATCCCAGACCTGGTAAATTTTTTAACTATTAATTTTGACATATACATTTATAAATCTTTTTGGACTTGAAATTATTAACAAAATTAATATTAAAATAATTTTTTTTGGTCAGTATATTTATATATATAAATACAATTTGTGGCAATTTTATATCAATTATGCTTAAGATTAAAGTGCTGTTTTTTAACTTAAAGAGTGCCGATAAAATCTTAGTTTAAACTTGGCATTGTGCTATTAAACCAATTGAATTGACAAACATTTGAGGCAAAGGTGATTTTATAGAAAAGTAATTTAACAAATGGCTGTCTATACAATAATAACATAACAAATGGCTGCCTTTTCAACTATTATTATATTTTTATATATAAATATTCTTAGTTGTTATATGATATCAAGTATGCTTGATATCATATAACAACTAAGTCCCGTTTTTTAACAAAGAAATTATAGGGATTTTACCTTAGAAATTACATGGTCACAATAAATTAGGCACCAGTGATTTTCAACTTTCTTTAGTTTATTAGACCATAAAACTATACTATTTTGAAATTTGAAAGTTGCAAGTTTATCTTATTTTAATTTATTTTTTATTACATATAATCAATTATAAATTATAAAATAAAGTGAGTTATAATTAATGAACTTTTAAAACGAGTGTTGGTGTAAAACATTTTCCCGCGTATTTTCATATATAATGAAACGTAAATAATTTAATTTTTATCGTTTTTTAGACATGTTTGGATCCTGTAAAAATGGGTAGTTTTTCATAAAACCCATTAAACCTTTGCAATAAAACATGGTTTTAAATGTTGCAACTTATTTGGGTTTAGATAGTTAACGAAAAAAAATTACAGATATTTTTGATTTTTAACTTAAAAAAACATTCATCTTTTTAACTTGAAAAAGAAATCGCTGAAAAGTTTTAGTTTTGTTTACGTTTACTTATTTTTAACATAGTTATAAGAAAGATAATGTTTTATTTTTTTTTTTTTACATTTTAAACATAATCATATATACTTATGACTATGTTTTTAACGACGCATTTCTTTGTAATTCTACAAAGAAAGGCATCTTTAATGCAGTTTACTAATGTTGATTTTTCAAACTTATATTTGAAATAAGATAACAACTAGTTAGCTATTTTTTTTTTTTGAGTTTTGAGAACACTTTTATTTTATAAACTAACTACTCCAGCTTGAAGCAACCAAAAATTACTGGTATCTACTATAAATGCAGGGGCGGTTTTATTGAAAAGAAATATTAAACTGCTTCTATTAATTTTCAACAAACGGTAAATTTATGGTTATTTGCAATTTGTATGAAATGATAAAAAGTTAATTTTTTTTTTAATGTATAAGTGTAGAAATACTGAAAAATAACTGATGTTTAGTCGCATTATGTCATTATTTTTGAAAATACAATAAAATTTTACGTAATAAGAACAATTCAAAGTAAATGACGGAGTATACAATGCAATACAGATTATTTTGCTTATCTAATAATGATATGAGTATTATCATAAAAAACCATAAAACTTGAATTTTATAAACATAATTTTTAAACATAAAACAAAAAAATTTTATAAACATAAAACATAAAAATATATATATATATATATATATATATATATATATATATATATATATATATATATATATATATATATATATATATATATATATATATATATATATATATATATATATATACATATATATATATATATATATATATATATATATATATATATATATATATATATATATATATATATATATATATATATATATATATAATTTTCTTAAAATTAGGAAGCCAGCTACTTCCACCATTTGGTTATTGTGAACTGTTTGAGTCATCAAAAGATATCAAATATACTGTAGCAAACAGGCATAAGTTCGTTTGCGAGCTATCTCAGCATGTTTTGTACCAGTATTGTCTTTTAGTTCTTTGGTTTTTTATTATTGGTGGCATTATTATATCATCTCTGGGAATATTTTTTCATGTTTATCAATACGTGCATTTAATTTGTGCAAGATACAGGTAAAAATAAAGAAAAATTTTAAAACCTTATTTTATATTCTTTCATTAAAATTTTTATTTTTAGTTTGATCTTTCAACCAAAAATAAAATTTGCAATGGTAAGGGAGACCGGGGAGACTTTTTGAGATTTGCAATGGTAGGGGATACGGGGAGAGAATGGACATTTCAAAATCTCCTACCCTGTTAACATGAGGACAATGTTGTCTATAGTCGATATGTTGGTAGACATATGCTCTTAGGTTTAAAATAGTTAGGTAACAGTTTCCCTCTAAAAAACATATTTTAGAGTGAAAAAACGATTTTTTGGTTCTTTGATGTAAAATTTTCATTTCCAAGTCAATCATTCAGATCCTAGTTATGAACTCTGCAAGAGTTGGTTGCAATTGGAGAGTTGGTGTAATTTTTTTGCAAGAGTTGGTTGCAATTGGTGAGTTGGTGCAATTTTTTTGCAAGAGTTGGTTGCAATTGGTGAGTTGATGCAATTTTTTTGCAAGAGTTGATGCAATTGGTGAGTTGGTGCAATTTTTTTGCAAGAGTTGGTTGCAATTGGTGAGTTGATGCAATTTTTTTGCAAGAGTTGATGCGATTGGTGAGTTAGTGCAATTTTTTTTGCAAGAGTTGGTTGCAATTGGTGAGTTGATGAAATTTTTTTGCAAGAGTTGGTTGCAATTGGTGAGTTGGTGCAATTTTTTTTTAGGACAAAAGGTTACCTGTGGACGTTAGGAATGTAAGTATTTGTAATCTATATATGAGTTTATAACAATTCCCTTGATTTTTTCAATATACCTCTTATGAGGAGACTTCGGACATTTCGGATACTGTCTAAAGTCTTCGATGCTTTTGTAATGATTGCTAAATAACAGTTTCCTATGGAAAGTTATTGAAATTTTGTAAACTTCTATTTGCAAAATCATTAACGATTGCAACACCATAATTTCCTTGTAGATTAATTCCGCACAATGGATTTCTTGAGTGAAAATCCGTAGCCGCTAGCTGTTCCGCTAGCCGTTCCGCTAATTGCGCTAAACTAAAGTAGTAGTTACAAGAGTAAACAAAAAAAAAAGAAAAAAAAAAAATTTTTAACAAGTTTTAAGTTTTATTGTTTTTTTTATCACAACTAATCAAAAGATGACCAGAAACTATAAGAAACAACAACAAATTCATCCGTATCATAAAGCTGCTCAACGGAAATCAAAAACTAATAATTGAGGACGACGAAAGGGTAGATTGATAATATCCACAGATACCCCGGAAAAAGAGGCACTTGCAGCGGCAAAAAAGCAAGAATGGCGAGAAGCTTACAAAAAAGACAACCAAGAAGAAGATTCTACACAAAAAAACCTCTAAAAAAGCAATCATTCGAGAATCGTCGTCAGATGAATCAATAGACCTACAAATTTCAATGATTGAGAGTACATATAACCTTGATCACGATGGAATCAATGACTGTAATGCTGATACTTTTTTTTTTTTTTTTGATGTGCCAGAAGGAAGATTTATAAATGTAATGGTATATGGATGTGGAAAACAATCAAGCCTTAAGTGGAGTTTTACAGGAAAATGGAAAATCCCTTTCAATACATATATAAGAACTATGAAGAATTTGCATTTATCGCCCATACCGATGTAGTGAAAACCTATTGCAATAATTTAAAAGTGAAAAATAATCTGTCGTTAAAATTTTTTATACTTATTTGTTTGATGTCCATAATCTTCCCTATTCATGTCTGGTATACGTGACTTTGGACATTTGACTAGCATTTTTAAAAATAGTTTATAAAGATGGCAAATCAAGAAATATAAAGTTAAAATGTTAAAAGATACCTTAATCATTGTAGTTTGACAAAAAATATGTTACTTTGAAAAAGTATGTTACTTTGAAAAAATATGTTACTTTGAAAAAATATGTTACTTTGAAAAAATGCAGTTATTGAATAAGCCCAAGTAGAGTAAAAACTCTCCGAAGTCTCTCCGGTCTCTCCAGTCTCTCCGGTCTCTCCTATACTTTGTAAAATACCAGGGTAGAAAAACCGTTTTTTAGCGTTCTTAACACCATAGCAATGGTACAGCAGGTTAAAATTCTTTTAGGCATAGTTCAGTTTACGAACTAAAGTCAATATTTGTTTATTATTGCTACTTTTCAAAAATAAACTTAAACTTTTTTATACCAGTTTATTTCCACAAGCAAGGTGAATTAGTGCTGTTAATAGTTAATTATTTTTAACACGTTGCTAGGCTTTCAAATAGAGTCAATGTAAATTTCAAAGTATGTAACTGTTTATAAAAAGCTAATTATCCAAACTGATGCTTTTTATTTAAAGCGGTTTTTATATCATGAAAATCACATTACGATTTTTCAAATATTACTGTCTATCGTAGATATACTCATTAATATGTCCTCACTGAATACTTTACAGAACAACTTAATAAATAGTATAAATAATATTATATATATATATGTATATATATATATATATATATATATATATATATATATATATATATATATATATATAATATATATATATATATATATATATATATATATATATATATATATATATATATATATATATATATATATATATGGTTATTTTTGGTTTCGCGATATAGTCACGTGATTTCAACTGGATGGAATTATTATAAAACAGCTGTAGAAAATTGAAATTATTATAAAACAGCTGTAGGCAATGCGCATTTGACGCAAGCCACGCTAGATTTAAATAGTTTTATGCATGTTTTGTAAAAAATATTAGTTTATATTTATAAACTGAAGTTGTTATAAAAAAAACTTATATTGCAACATAAAAAAATTTCCACCCCTCCTTTTATTAGGCCCCTTTCCCCTCCCCACCGTTTATTAGATTTGGACTAAAGTTTCCCCCTCCCTTTTATTTCCCCCTCTCCCCTCCCCATCCCTTGTATTAAGGACTCAACAGTTCCTTTTTAATCTTACTCCCCTTTGTATTCCCATCTCCCATTTGTATACTCTCGCACGCGAGAGTATACAAATGTTCTAGGACTTCAAAGCAAATTTCGATCAGTTGAATCTTGCAAAATTTAGCAGACTTACTTGCTCTTAGTGAGACTAAATTAAATTCGGCTATTTCATCTTCAGATCACAGTTTTGATGGCTAATATCCCATGATTAGTAAAGACTCTAATAGTCACATACTTGTCTTGGATGTTTACTTACGTCCGTAGTATCTTTTTTACAAAACAACTCTTTTAACAAAAACAATTCTTTTAACAAAAGTCGTTATTATTGCCGAAAATCATTAAAAAAAGTTTTGTCTATTGCTAAGCTCCATTATTCTCAATTCACTAAATGTCGTAACTTGCCTCAGAATTCAGGCTCTATAGAATTTAGAAAAATCTTTAATAGTGTCATTAACAAGTCGAACATTCTTTCTCTAATTCATCGGTCTTATTACCTCTCCCAAGAATAAAAGCAGAACTTTTTGTAAACAACTTTTTTTCAATTTTGATTTTTGAATCTAATGACCACACTTTTCCTGCTGTTCCAGTTAAACAGGTTAAACCATTGTTAGACATTTAAATTATTTTAGCTTTCATTGCTAAAGTCTTTTCTAATTAAACTCTTCTACGGCTTGTGGTATAGGCAACATTCCTGTCATAGTCTTACAAAAAGGTTGATAAGTGCAAAAACATTGACCGCTTGATCAGTCTTCTCTCAATTATTAGCAAAATCTTTGACTCTTTTATCAAAAAATTTCTCTTATAATTTGTAAAAAATCTCTTTTTGATTACAACTTACTCTTTGACAATCAATACAGAATTTGATCATATTTAGACTGATTATTAAGATAATATTTTTTTCTTCAGTTTCCCTGCATGTTCTACCTGCTTAAGACAGTCGATGTATGCACACTCCTGGCATTAGGGTTATAACTGACAATATCTCCTGGGGTCATAAATAATGAACTTTTGTGACCTAACTAAATAGTTTTTCGACTAATTGAATCGCTAACTTGAAAAAGGGTACATGCAAAAATTCACATAACATGTCCTTTTTTTCAAGTGAGCGATTCAATTAAATCAGTGTTTTTTTAAAGAGCGGATAGAAAATACGTCAAACATATTTTTTATAGATATATTTTGACATTTTTTATAATTCACACATATATTCAGTTTTATGTCTAATTTTCAGAATATGTCTGAATTATTTTCTGCTAACATAAAATATGACTGACATATTTTGACATTTTAATTTGGATATATTTTATGTTTTATATTATTGAAATAAAAATCAAACTAAACGCATTTTAAAATAATTTGATGAATAAAAAAAAATATATTTATTTATTTAAAAAACAGCAAATAATTCAAACATAAAATTATATCAAAATATGTTTACAGAAAACATGTCGGAAATATTTTATGTCATCATATATATATATATATATATATATATATATATATATATATATATATATATATATATATATATATATATATATATATATATATATATATATATATATAAAGTATAGCTAAGTATTAACAAATTTAATCATAATAGTTTTTACCTTACATCACACAGTCAGAAATGCTTAAAAATGCAAGTTAATTCATTTTTCAAAATTAAAAACACTTTTTAGGAAAGAAATATTGTATAGTTCAAATAAATTGATTTACCTATTTAAACTCAAAAATGAATAAAGTTTGACTAATAAAAAATAAAAAAATTAAATGACACATGAGCTCACGAAAAATTTTTATAAATATTAAATTGAAAAAAAGGCTTCACTTTTCATTGTCACAAAAAATTCCTTTTTAAAACATCTTTCTAAAAAAATTAAATCAGAACCACTATCGTCACATAACATTATTAGGTTCGGATGCCTCTTCATATGTCAATCTGATGGGAAGAAAACAGTTTTTAATCAAGTCTTTTTCATGTTTGAATATTTTAGGAAGTGTTGAAGGTAAAAATTACCAATTACAGCCATCTTCCTGGTGAAAATAAATATTTATTT